TTTTTACATTTCACAATGGAAACACATTCAAATTATTAAAATATGCTTTAGAAAATGGTGAACAGTCAATATAACATAGCCTATACCTACTGTATGACATCCCTTGTGACTCAAGTATGGGTGATTAAACCCTTTAAAAAGATTCACATCATATTAATTCCAGCTGTATAATATTCCAGGGATAAGAGTCTGACACAAATATGATTGAGTAATGTTTGCACTAAAGGTTGGGAGATAACAGAGGGTGTAGCTCAGTAAGCTATCAGTCAAAGAATTTATATAATTCTTTATTTTACTGGGTTTGGCCTGATGCTGGACAATCAGACGTTGGATGCAGGAAGGTTTAATTTCAGTGTGTTAAAAGGGCTTGTTTTTAATCACTTTATTTGGATTTAACTGTGGGGCATTAGTGTGTGTCCAAAGGTTGGGGTGCAAAGACAAAGAGGCCAGTAAAAACCAACTAACATTTACTTGTAAAATCACTGTTAAACACTTTTAATTATTTTAAATTATATTTTATGAACCAATACTTTTACACATCATACATACATATATACATATAATACTTTATAATAAAAACAGCAGCGTGTATCTCTCAAGTAAGCTTCTAGTCACGTTTACATCAGTATAGTATCACAGCATTTGAGTAAATTAGTTACTTTCCGTCGCTGCTGCTTGATGACTGACAAGTGTGAGTGCAAGCTGTGATACATCAGCTCGTTCATTTGTCGTCTGTCACCCAGTGACACTGCTAAGTGGACACTGACAGCACTTTTGACAGATTGATCCATCACAACAGTATTTGTTCTTTTCAAAATCAAGTCATAAATGTCAAAAACTGTGCTACATTCATTATATCACGATTGTGGGGAAAACAAACAAACAAACAGTTACATCTTAACTTAATTAACCTGCACTACATAATTACACTTGCAATTGTGACTGTTGCTGCTGCTGCTGCACAAGTGCACTCTGTTCATTGTTAATGCTGCTCATACTGTATATATCTTGTTAGCATATATATATATATATATATATATATATATAGTTATTTTTTATATCCCTGTACATATTTACATCACTCTGCACGTTACTGCTTTTTTACTTCTGGTTAGATACTAAACTGCCTTTCGTTGTCTTAGTACTTGTACTTTGTGCAGTGACAAAGTTTATTCTAATCTAATCTCACATAATTCAATTTTAATAAAACCTGAAATTACCTCACACAAGTGATATATGTGTAGGTCCAGAGGGCGTTTGCAGTGTGTACACTTCTGTTAACTGTTCGTCAATAAAACTGAATTGAAGTGACCTTTAACAGAAAATAATAATAATAATAAAAAACCTGTGATCACAATCAAAATTTTAAAAAAGTATTTATTCACAAAAACATCACAAAACATTTCTATAAGGACACAGTATGTATATCTCCATTAGAGTATTGAACTGGCTCAGCAACTAATTTTTAAAAATCACATCATTATAAATGAAAAACAATCCGACTCAATCACTTAAACACAGTTACACAGTAGTGGTTACTACTTTATGACAAACAAACAAACAATAACAAATAATAAAGGATCAACATACACTATTGTCAAAGCAGTTTTCCATGTTTCACAGTAACTTAAGACCATTGTTGAACGGTTGATAGTCCCCAGAAGTAACACGTTTCCATGGTAACCAGGGACTAAAAGCTTTAAAAAAAGGGAATATTTGAGAGGATTTATGTAAACCCTCTGAAAACAAAGCAAGATGAACCTGTACAAGAGGAATACTGTAAGGTAGAGACTGAGGGAGGGTTTGTGTCCAGACGCCGTCCAGTATTTAATTAATAACTTCACAGCTTTTCACTCCAGGTCGTAGTTGTCATACGACAGCTGCTTCAAATGTGTGATACTATCTGGAATTAAATCACACACACATAAAAAAGACAGAAACAATTACTAGTGACATGATAAAGGTTTTAGCATTTAACACAGAGATTAGCATTAAATAGCTTACCCAGCACCCACTGCTCAGACAGGATCCTGCTTCCCTCTGGTCTCCTGCCGCTGTACTTCCCTATGCAGATGCCCGCCTGCCGCACAGTTTTGCAGACTGTTCCTCCACAGAGTTGGATCAGCTCCACCAGACTCTGAGTGGGCGGCTGGGAGTGCTGGGACACAAACATGGCGGGCTGGCTTTGGAACAGGTCCTGCTGGTGCTCCCCGGCAGACAGGTGCCTCTGGAGGCGACAGATCTGGGAAGACACGCCGACAGTTAAATACCGTACAAATGAGCTGTTTTCAGAGAGGAACAATCAGGTTAAAGTGACACAGAAGTTGATCACTAAAAGAACAAACAGCTGCTCAATGCACAAACTCATGATAAGCTTTCAACATCTGCCTAGTCCCACTTTCCAGAAATAAGAAAGGAATACTTTGACATTTTCATATCTATCTAGCTAAATACGTATAAATAAACAATAATAACTAATAAATAAGTTAATTTAACAAAGACTGCAAACAGCTGTTTGAAGGTTAAAAAGAAAATCTCCCTAACAGCCTCCCTAAAGCTCTCTAATTAGCACATTGTATCTCGTTTGTTTAATCCGTGCAGAAGCCGGAGTGTAAAGACAGTAATTCGCCGTTTTAAAAAGGGGGGATTATGTGTCGGACTGTTTCTTGGCTGGGACCAGTTGCTAGGCAACCGGTGGAGACTGCGGCAAGTTTCTGGTCTCTGCCAATAATCAATTTAGCGATAATCTGCGATTGGGATTTTTCCAGTAAGTAGGTATTGTTGTTTGTAATTAGTTTGTTTGTTTCAAGTCAATATAAATGTCCCATTAGCAATTATTCAGAATCAGTTGCAGATGTTTTCAATTACTGACTAATTAGACCTCAAAGTCAGACTGAAACTGGGTGGAGCAAACTCTGTGAATGAATAACAATGGCCGTTTTTTTACATCAGACATTTTGACTTTAGTAGGAAAAGCACAGTCGTTACTAATAACATTAAAGAGGGCTCAGTTCTATTTATGTGTCCCAGTAAACTATGACAGTGTGACAGTGAGCCAGGATGCAGAATACCAGGACCCTGAAACTGAAGCAGCTAAATGGAATTCAGACATCATTAATTATAGTATGCACCTGTGCTTTTTCTACTATGACGTGTCAAAACACCCACACAGCTCTGAGAAGAGGTATAATCAGGCAACGCAGGTGAAAACACCTGCATTGGTAGACTATCGGAGTGTGACTAAATGGCCATGCACACCAACAACAACTATAATGATAACATGTGAGCATCTGAACTACGTGATCCAGCTGTGTTTGCAGCTTAAAAGGAAACTAGTATATATATATATATAGTGATACAGCTGTAACAAAAAGAACACCAGAAGGATAAGATAAGTTCTTCAAAGACGAGAGGAGTTAAGGAAATCAACATTGAGCTGTGTTGTCTTATGAAGAAAGTATTTTATTCATACTTTGTAAAAATAATGTACCAAAAGGACATCAGGGACATTCTTCATGTGTGATTTGCAGCCTAATGTTATAAGTTTTATATGTTGTACACCACAATATCGTTCATCAAATGGCTCTGAAAGTGATCCTGAAAGTTTGCCACGGTTGTTGTCGTTATAGTTGCGGTGTGGGCGGTTTTTAAAAAGATAGTCATTGTCATCGTTGTTGGTTGTAGACGGCCCTTTACAGTGAATTATGAGTTGAATGAATGCCCTCACTAAACTCATCAAAATAAGTCTGTTCTGAA